ATGATAGACAGATGGCCAAACAATCTCATGAAAAAGTGATCAACATTATTTGTCATCAAGGAAAAGCAAATATTTAAAATGAGATATTTTTACATGCTCAGTAGCATAAATGAGGTTTCCAAATTAGACACACAATCATATCATAAAAATATGAAGCAATGAGAGCTCTCACAGTGCTGGTAGGAATGTAAAATCACCCAACTGATTTGGAAAGCAATTTGGTACTTTCTGATACAGTTAAATATATTTACCACATGACCTAGTCCTACATATTTTTACCCAGTTCCATTCTAGGTATTTATCTAAGAGATGAAAATGTAGTCCATATAAAACTTCTATGTAAATATTTATAGCATCTTTATGCACAACAGCCAAAAACTGAAAACAACCCAAATGTTTATCAGCATGTGAATGGATAAACAGATTGTGTCATATTCATAAAGATATGTCATATTCATTAAAGAACTGAACTGAACTTTACCTGAAACAATATGGATGGATTTTAAAGGTACTGAAAGTAGCTTATGAGGGTTAGAGGTTAAGGGAAGGAATTGACACTATAAGCAATAGGGGACCTCTTTTGGGTGATGGAAATGGCATATCTTGATTGTGGTGGTAGGTGGTAGTTATATGACAGTATACAGCTGTCAAAAATCATGGAATTATGCACTTAGAAAGGATAAATATACCTCATTAAACTTGACTTTAAATACAGAAGTTTTAACCTTCCTCCTTGTTAATTTTTTTTTTCAAGTTAAAACAGGTAACTTTTTTTTTTTAAAACCTATCTGATTGATTATGATTGAAGTATTTGATTACATGTTGTCAAGGATTTGGGGAAGGAGTCACTCTCACAGTATATTTCAAAATTTAAAATGCATGTACCTTTTCACCCTCTGGGGAGTTTTCCTACAAGTAAGACATGCTCAAGGAAAGAGTGGTGTTATCATGGCAAAAATTAGGGAACAATTTCATCTCCCTTAATGGACACATAAAATTGAAGTAGTGAAATACTGTGAGGTAGATATAAATGTGTCCTAATAGGGGACAGCTTCTTAAGAATTTTTTAAATGAAAATAGCCAAATGCAAGTAACATTATAGTGTATTTCTATTTGTATTTGTAAAAATGTATATGTAGTTATGTGTGTTTATCCATTCATACCCTGTTAGAGATAGCACACACATATGTGTACACACACATTTTACTCTGGTATTAGCCAGGGTATTGGCACAAGAAAGTCTTACCTTTTCAATATCTATCTATCTGTTGGTCTGTCTGTATCTGTCTATCTATCTACCTGCATATAGCACAGAATTTTAATTTGTATTTGTTTTATTAGGAAAGTTGAGAATGCATAGGTGACTTTCTTAATCATCTCCTCCAGCTTAATATTGTCAGCAACACAGCAGAGGACTATATGCATCTTACAAGTGATCCAGTATGACATTTGTAAGACCACCTCCCCTTGTAACCACTGCTTCCAATCTATGTCTCCTATTTTTCTATTAAATAAATTCGTGTGGGAGTAAGCTGAAGAAGAAATACACTTTTTTTTTTAACTTTACTGATATGAGGACATTTTGCATATTGGATTGCTCCTCTAGTTCAGATCACGTTTACTAAACACTATAATTAATAGTCACTTGACTATTATAGTGAGGTGAGGAGAAATATACTTATTTCTAAGGAAAATGGTAAATTATGTCCCTGTATCATATCCAGATGCTACCAGGGATCTTCTTTAAATAAGGGGAGCATTTGTAGGAAGGTGTAGAATTGACAGCAATTCCTGAAAGTGGGCTGGCTTGGGAGGCTGTATTCAATTTAGTTTGGATATTAAATGAATTAAAATGGACGTTCTCAAGTTATGAGCCTCGTCTCATCAGTGCTATAAAAAGCCCCATAGCCAGGCTGTAATTTGACTCTTCTCTCTGTAATGTTTCACAATATTTCTATGGTTACAGAGCTCAAATAAGTGGAAGCTAATCATTAGTTTGCTAAATGTGGTTCATGGAACAGTTCACAACTCCCAAACCTGCCAACTGCTGCTTGTTTAGTGTCATATACACCCTTCTTGGGTAGAAGTTGGTTTATTCCTGAGAAAAAAATGTACAGTAACACTTGTCTCACATCCAGAAATCATGTAATATGGCAACACTCCATGATTTTGGGGGATGGGGACAGGAAAAGGTCACTCTGATCAGAGTTTTAGTGACATATAGTTATGCAAGAAGAAATCATTAAGGAAGTATAAGATGGCAAAACATGCAAAGAATTAAAAGTGCAGAGGTTTTAGGTATTTGGAAAATCAGATTTTGTTGATGTTTCAGATATTTGCTATGCTAGAAGTCTATGGATTTTAACATTCGCAGGTCCTAGAAATAAATTCTGCTCTTTGGGTTCCTTGTTTGTTTTATGTGACAAGACACACTTCGCTATTGTCCAGGGTCATCTACAAGCGTCATAAAATGTTCTGCTTTTGGAAGCAGTTCCTTTTTTCCCCCTGAAATGTGTTAAGGAGATGTACTGAGAGCATTAAGTACCAACCTAACTTATGCCCTTAATTGAGGGCATAAATTGAGCCTCAGTTCTGAAGCAACTCATGACTATTTGGTCTTTTCCTATTGGGAGGAAAAAATATTCTTTCCCAGTAACTAGAATATATAGTGTACCCACCTGTGATTCATTTTCCTTTCCTGTTGGTCCAGTGGAAGGAACCTCTTTTTTCTTGGAGATTGTCCAGAAAGAGTTTGGTAGCTGTCTCTGTTTACCTACTGTATTATTTAGATATCTTTGGACTGTAAAAGCCCTGACCTCAACTGACTTAAGGAAAAAGAGTATTTATTGATCCTGATTAAATAGGTTATATAAATACCAACTCATTGTTGTGCACACCTAAAACTAACATATGTCAATTATACTGTAAGGGGAAAAAAATCATGGCCAGATACGAGTGTTGAAACCATTTCATCAAAACCCACTCTCCTGCTTCTATCATCTCTGCCCTTGTCTGTCAGAATCACTCTCAGACTCTGTGTGCTGAACCAGAGCAGTTACATAATCGCCCATGTGCGAACCCAGCAGGAAACAGCAGGTATCCTTCCCTCTATCTCCTGGATAAGTTCTGCAGCTTTTCCTGATTGAACTGGTTATGGTCTTAGACATTTCCTGAACCCACCTCCAGGTTCAGAGGGATGCAGTGTTTTGAATCATTCGCACCCAAACATTGTAAAAGGAATAAGAAAAGGCAGCAGCCCAATAGCAAGAGAGGTTCTGTGCAGAAAGAAAGGGGACTGGGAGCTGGAGACATAACACTCGACTTTAGTGTCAAGTGCATTGAAAGACTTTGCTTCAGAACAGTAAGATAGGGTTCTGCTGATTTGTGAAGCAGCTCATGTTCCCCAACCTCTTATCTTATTCTCACCTGTCTGTGTGCTAGTTCAGAAAAAATTCATTCTTCATTCACAATACACATTTAAAATATACACAGTGACTAAACATCTATATGGAGTATAAAGAAACTGAACAAGACAAAAACTCATTCACACTAACAGAATGGTGGTACCACCAAGGAGGGAGAAATAACAGTGGGGAAATTGGGTGGAAGGAGTCAGTTATATGGTAGAGCATGGAAACTAGGCTTTTGGTGGTGATGAGAATATCATGGATACAGATGTTGATGCATAATATTGTGTACTTGGAACCTACATAATGTTATAAACTACTGTTGTATTAATAAAAAATGAACAGAAAAAATTCATGCAGGAGGAAGAAAGAAGAAATGACCAAGAACTGATACATTTATGGTAGTTCTCATTGCACTTCCTGGATTTAGGCAATTTATAACATATAAATAGTGAAATTAAGGCATCATTTAGAAAATATAAAAACCACTATCATTCTAACCCAACTTCTAGTTCAATTTTAGCATATTTCCTTTTTGATCTGTGTTCAGATGAGCTTCTCACAAACTTACCTTTTTTATTTTTATTTTTGGCTTGATGTTATAATTCAGCCATTTTCCATGTTGTTATGTACCTATCATTATAGTGTACATACAATTTCCATTGAGTA